AATTAAGTAAAGCCAAGTTTCAAAACCTACACTAAGTCATTTAGACTTTTATTCTTTTATTCAGAGAATGTTTATTGAGCATGTATTGAACGCTGTGGAAGACATTGCAACAGGTGCAAATCATATTCTTCTGGCCAGTAACTATGTGGTTGAATGCCAGCTTCACACATCATGATCTTTCTTCTAGTCCAAGCAATTTCATAGCAAGACAGCATAAAAAGGAGAATGGTTTCAATGTGATGCAAGCATGTATTCCATGGGATTATAAGATTGTATTTGTACACTATTGAAGATTAGTTTGTATCTAATCCAGCAGCATGGCTCCTTCCTTCCACCAACCAACTCAGTCACTGTATCAGCACCAACATTTTCAGTGGTATCACTACAATGTATATTTTTCTTTTATGTTGTAAGAAACATAAGGTTTGTATCTATAAGCAAAATTCTCTAAATAACATTCAGAAAAAATAACAGTCTTTCCAATAGTATGTTTAGAACATAATGAAGAGCTGTGAATTGAGAAAATATACATATATCTGGTCATCTACATGTAAATTCACTTATATGCTGAAAAACATTTAACTTGACTTACTCATGTATAAGCAAAACAAAATTTTTAAAAGATAAATATAATAGGTAGGAAATGGAAAAAAGAACTGAAATTAGCTGTGAAGTATAAATATACTGAAAGATAACCTCAAATTTGTCTCTATTCTCAAGGCTACCTTGATTCACAAACACATTTTAAAACAAATTGGCAGTGTAGACGTGCACCATCCCTAGTTATTGGACATAATGGAGAAATTTGCTCCCATTAGGCCTCCTAAAGAGGACCACAGTGTAAAATAGTGAACAGTGTCTTCAAAGAAGTAAGTTGTTCTGTTTGATTCAATTCAATATCACAGAAGCAAAGTCTAATGAGCTAGCTCTGTGTAAAATGAAGTGAGACATTCCTGTACACCACACTTCAGTGCTTTGATTAAATCCAATGATGTGTTTTAGAATTACAGAAAAAACAGGCCTGTATCTTCTTTAAGCATTCTTTTTAGTAATTTGATACTTAAATGGTCATATACTTAGGATTTATCTTATCCAGTACTGCAGCTTTGGTGACTAGAATAATAAGTACTTCAAAAATGTCTAAAACGTTTTGTTCCTTAAATGGAAAATGTTCTCTAAATCATCATATTTTAAAAGAAATACATTGTGTCAGCTGTCCATATTTCAGTCCTTCTCTCTAAACAAAGTGTGCTAGTATTCTTTGTGTGACTCCCTGTGTTATTGTTTTCCAATGCTGTAACAAGGTAACTGAGACTGTTAGCATTTATGAAGTCCAAGTTTAGGTGACTCAATCTGTTCAGCATCTACTGAGAAACCCTCCCCACTTTGCATCATATTTGAGAGACAACCAGAAAGGAGAGTGTCATGTAAAAAGAGATATATGGTGAGGCAGAATGCCAGTTATTGGGGGTCAGTCATGCTCTGAGTATAAGATCAGCAATGTCTTAATTATCTTGCCTTGTTGGAATCCCTTGAAAATTCCATTGGCCTTTGTTGGTACTGTGGCATGGGGTGTGACCCAGCACCTGAAGTGCTTGTGCTCGCAATCTCCCCCTCCCTCTCTCCCCATCCCTCTCTCTCCTTCCCCCTCTCCCTCCCCCTCTCCTTCTCCCCCTCCATCTCTCTCCCTCTCTCCCTCCATCTCTCCCTCTCCTCTTTCCCTCCCTCTCCCTCTCTCCCTTTCCCCCTCCCTCTCTTTCCATCTTTCTCTCCCTCTTCTCCCCTCCCTCTCTCCATCTCCCCCTCCCTGCTCTCTCCTTCTCTTTCTCTCTCTCTCCTCTCTCTCCATCTCCCCCTCCCTCCCTCTCTCCATCTCTCCCTCTCTCCCTCCCTCTCCTTCTCCATCTCTCCCTCTCCCCTTCTCTCCTCTTCCTCTCCCCTTTCCTGTCCTTCCCTCTGTCCCTCCCTCCTTCTCATTCTTGTCTTCCCTTTTCCTCCTTCCTTTCTCCCTCTTTCATCTCTCACCCCTCCTCATTCCCTCTTCTTTTTCTTCTCTCTTTGTGTAACTCTGCCTTTCACATATATAAAATCTTGAATTACAAAACAAATCCCACTGCCTTGTAACATTGCCAAAGGAACAAACTTTTGGCACATGAGTAGGGAAACAAAACAATGCAAAAAATACTAATCCTGAAGCTGATTAAAAGTCAACTGTTGATTTTATAAATCCCCTTGTTTGATTTTTATGAGTTTAAGGTTTTAAGCTGTCTTAAGAAGAAGTTCTCAGTGACATAGAAGCATTTCTTCTCAGGAGATCTGAAAATCATCCCAGATGGATTGATTTTGAAAAGTAACATGTAAACTTTTAGTGTTAGCTCAGTTTTGCAGCTTTAACTTATATGGTAGTAGTTCATTCCTGAACTGAAGAATTTAAAAATTTCCATCTCTGCGACCACCATTGTGCCACAACTGATAAAACCACTACCTTCAATCCTGGCACCTCAGATGGGCACTGTTTCATATCCTGGCTGCTCCACTTCCATTCCAGCTCCTTTCGGATGGCCAGGGAAAGCAGCAGCAGATTGTGCAGTGCTTGGTCCTCTGCCACCCACGTGGCAGACCCGTTGATGCTCCTGGATCTTACAAATAAATGTCTTCACATTATTAAGGGGTTAACCCATAGCTTGTATTCATTTTAAAATTCTTTAATTTTTAAATTAAAGTTATTTACCTTATTATTTTATGATACGGTTCTATACAGCTCAGATTTCCTTTACCTCCTCCCCAAGTTCCTCCTTCTCATTGGTTTCCCCTGTATCATTACAATAGTATAGTCCTTCATAAACCGTCATAAGTCTATCATTCTGCTATTTAAGTGTATCCTGACATTGTAGGTATAGACAATGGCAGAGCATCCAGCCTCCTGTTACCAAGATATATTTTAACAATTTGTTTGGGAAATCATCTTTGATTTGAAAGTAGAGATGCATTCTGCCTTGTGTCTTCACATCTGCATGTGATAGTCTCTATCACACAGTTACTATCCATCCCCATAAAACAAAATCAACAACAGGAAGAAAAAATTGTAACAACAACATGAAGTTAAGCAGTATGCTACTGAATGACCAGTCTGTCACTAAAGAAATGAAAAAGTAAATCAAAAACTTTCTTGAAGCAAATAATGCTAGTGTATACCTATGGGTCAGTGAGGAAATTAATAAGAAAAAAACTTTTTGAATGAACAAAATTAAAAATATCAAGCCGCTGAGATGTAGTGAAAGGGCTATTGATCTTGTCTATTGTATAAATCTTTGCAGTGTTAATTAGCATCGAATGTGTACTTGATATATTTTATCTGCTACACCAAGTCCTCAACTTTTATCCAGAATTGCCTTCTCACTTAGGAATATCACTCCACTTCTTATGTAATGTTGGAGTATCAACTTTTCTCTAGATTTCCTTTTGATTTTTTTTATTTCCTTTTGCCTTTTTCTTACTTACTGGAATATTTTATTTCACAAGCATTATTGCAGTATTGCTCATAATTATTTCAATTTTCTTCATTTATATAAATGGAACTGAGGATTCATTAAATCATATATTTTCCTCCCAACTTTCAGCCTATCTCAACCATTTTATTACAATATTCAGACACACCTCATTAAATTGCAGCTTGATTTATTGCTCTTTGCAAACACTGAGTTTTTCAAACATTGAAATTTTATGGCAACCCCACACTGTGGAAAATTGTTGCTGTCCCTAAATAAGCTTGTGTCTCCATGTAATTCTTGAAATAGTTCAGATTTAGTTGATCAATTAGCAGTTATCACTATCAAGTCAGACCCTTCCACAAAGAAAACATTGTGACTGGTTAAAGGCTCAGATGATTGTAGCATTTTTTGGCAATCAAATATTATGCTCGCTGATTTATTGTATATACAATTACACAGTTAATAAACTATAATGTAGTGTAAGCCTAACCTTTACATGTACTATGAAACACATAGAATTCATGTTAGTTGCTTTAAGGTACTTACATTATTGTGGTGGTGTAGAATTCAACTAAGAATATCTCCAAGGTTTGCTAATATAACTATTTGACTCACCTTTAGACAATGGTATTTTCCTGTCTTCTTTTTAATTCTTCTTTGAGAAATCAGTTAAGATGAAAAATGTGATACAACAATTTTCTTCTAGCTAGTATGCTACATGGTAAAACCTGATGACTTCTTGATTTCCTTTAATCCATGTTATAAAAGCATTGAGATAGGAATAATTAGATGAGATCGGGTTTTAAGGGGCTAATTCCAAGACTAATGGCACAGGTAGGTGTTTGGCCTAGTAGAATTCCCATATCTTGTATCAGAGTCCCCAGGTTCAAGTGTAGTCTGCTCCCAGGTCAGCTTCCTTCTAACATGCATCTTAGGAAGTAGCAAGTGATGAATAAAGTAGTTGAATCCCTGCGACCCACCGTGGAAGACACATTCGTGTTTCTGCCTCCTGGCTTACACCTGGCCCAGCCTTAGCTGTTGCAGGCACTTGGGGACTGAAGCATCATATGGGAAATGTTTTTCTAAGACATTCTCTTTCTCTCTGCATTTTATATAAACAAATACGCTTTTTTTTTTAGGAAAAGAGAAACAGACAAATAAAAGGGAGAAGGGAGGAAGCTAAATTTCTTACCGTGTAAAAAAACCATTGAGCTATTATAGCAATCTAAGGCTTATTTTTGTGATTTAGGTTATTAGGCAAGATGAGATTTCTCTCAGATGTTTCTGATCTGTGACTTAGACTAATATAAAATTCTCTGGATTTTCATGGTGCTCAGGTTTTATTCAGTGATCCTAAAGAGCTAAATCTGGAAAAAAAGATAAATGTCTGGGAGCTACAAAGTATACTTTTTAGAAAACCTGATATATAATTTTTTAAAATAACTTTACTACTCTCCCTTTATTTTTTGGCAAATTTCACTCAGTCTGCTATTTAATCTTTAATTACAGGCCACAAAAGAAGTGATAGAGCGGGAAGCACCAGGGATGGCCCTGGCAATGCTGATGGGATCACTTAATGTTACACCTCTGGGCATGCTCTCTAGGTAAGAAAGCTACCAACATGTTGCAAAGAAAGTGAATTCCGTACCATTAATCTCAGTACACCTCAGTGATAAACCCTTAGGCCCTTAGTCACCACACTGAAATTTGCCCATAAAAAGAAACTTAGTATCCTATGTAATTAAATCTTGGCCACAGTTTCAAATTCTGTTATTATGACAGGGATGAGAATATGTTTGTTAAACTTCAGTGAGTATAAAAAGTTATTAGTCTTAATCCAGAGCACAGTCCAGTTTTTTAAATGTAATTTTTGTGATTGCATTTAATCATCTAATATTCATTGGTTATATTTAAATGTTAATTTAATAAAGCTATATAATAAAGCTTATTAAAATGCCTTGTTGTTACAAATTAGAAACGTTTACTGCAGTTTGTAAATAGGTATGTTAATGTGGAGTCAAAAAAGGCTTAAATCATGTTGCCAATTCCTTAACCCTTGGAAATTTGATACATTCAAACTATTATTTAAATATATTAGATGATGAATATTCAAAAGTGTGCCTTGTGTGTAGATCTTCATGTTCATCCTTCATCTGTTCATCTAGTTGCTATCTTGGCAATTCTTAGGTTGAAGTCCCCTAAAAGAGGCAATATAAACCATTTAGTATATAAATGATTTAAAATATAAATCAGTTAAAAATAAAGTGTCAACTTCAAATCTGTGGATTTCATGACTGTTGACTAATAGTGCATCTAGAGGAAACTAAAAGTACATAGCACCTTTAAATCTTACGGATTTCAAAATCATTCACAGCCATTACAGGCTCTGAACAGTAAATAAATAGAAGGAAATATGATATCCATGTCATCATATGGAATATGAATTATAATGTTTTTCCTCTGTTACTTGAACTAACTTCATGCCCTATCATTGACAGTCACTTGAAGCACAGCCACAGTTACTGTACATGGTTCATTCATTATGTAGTCTCTTTGCTAGCATATTTGCCACATTGTAAAATTTAATTACCACAGTATTGAGAATAAATAAAGGAGCATAATAATGATTTTAAATTTAAAAGTCTGTGCTGGTCTTTGAGGAATTCGAGTTGATTTCTTTCCTCTTGTTCTTTTTTTAACCCTCACTGACACTACCCTATAATGTCCTGGGTTACAATGGATACCTTTTTTTTTCTGTGTAATTAAGTAGTGATTTTTGAATGCAAAACATACTCATTCTGCTATACATGAAATAAAATCAAGAAGGAATTAAATTTCACCACTTGTTAATGCATGGGTAATGATATTTTAGGTCAGTGAACGTTATTGTGTACTTATTGTCACTCCCCATGTTCAGTATCGGGGATTCTTAGAAAGTGCACCTCATTTTAACTAGTGCTGTTAACTTTGCAGCTCTTAAGGTAGTCTTTAAATTGAATATAATTTTCTTGATCTCATGTAGAGTATCACTTTTTGCCTTACAAGATGGGTTCTCTTAATGAATTTAATGTCTTCCCTTTTTTTATCCAAATTACCAAGCATTGAGCTTTTGAGTTTGTGGCAAAATAACTAACAGGTGCTCATTCTCAAGAATTTTGCAATTACTCTGTCACCTTTAGAATTTCAGATTGCTATTAATCCCTGAAGGCTTAGACTATTAATACCTGTACTCAATATGATAATACCTTCTAGCTTTTCCTTCTGTTCATTACTGACATAATTGCAAATTTATTTACAAATCCTGCAACAGAAATAGAAGTCCATGGTAGTTATAGGAGATGAATCTATGGAATATTTCTCTGAATGTTCATACTTTTGTACTTCTCAAAACCTTTTGAAAAATTATTTCAGCAACAGTCATGATTGAATGTGTCCTTCCTCTCTACAGTCTTGTATTTTGTATGCTCCTTGCAATTTAGTACATACTCTCATTACAGAATGTATCATTCCATATTATCTAACTTGCAAAAAATTCTAAATAATGGGGTCTCGGGGTCTTTATCTTGCTGATTTTCGCAGCTTTGGCTCCCTAAACAACTTTGGTCACATACTGAGTACTCAGATTTTTATTGTTTTGCCTATTCTTGATAAATCAATGTTTCATCCTACTTCTAATAGCATTTTATTACAGGTTAAATAATGGATCACGTTTGTACCTTATTTTTCTGTTTCTAATGCCATAGAACAACACTAAATAGTGTTTTTAAATTGTTACATCCATTTCAAATTGTGTATAGCTACTTGGAAAACGTAGTATTGTTTAGAGTTTGTTGGTTTTGTTTTTGTTTGTGGGAGGAGGTTGGTCTTAGGTTTCTTTATTTGTTTTTGTTTACAAGAAAGTTTTGAAATATTATGAACCTATGTTGTTTGGGTTCTACTCTGGTCCACTCATTTACTAGCTACCTAAAATCATTTATGTTTTAGTTTCTCATCTGTATGATGCAGATGTTAATAATACCAGATTTCTTGCATCAAATGACTTAATCCATATAAAGTGCTAATAATAAGCTTTATAATACGTCACACATGTTGATCATTATTGTGTTGCATTGTTATTATTTGAGAGTTGTAGCTTTAGGGCAGATATACTAATAAAATTCTTACCTTTTCTTCTTTACCTCACCCTAATTCCTAAGAGATATTTTCAACATATTAACGATTCTGAATTAAATTCAATTTTCTTCAAGAAAAAAAAATTTACTCCATTATTCTGACTCCATGTTTCCAAAATAGAATTTCAGATTGCTATTGATCCCTGAAGTGTGATTTTTCTTCAATTGCTTTGATTTTAAAAGTTACATTTTAACAAAAGCTAGAACAATTCAGGCAATTGGTTTTTCAAACTTTTTTTTTTTTCCTGCACAATCTCCTCTGCTCTTGGAGAGTTTATGAGATGAAATTTAAATCTTTTCATAATGTCCCACATGTTCCTTGGACTCTGTTCATATTTCCAGGGTTTTGTTTTCTATATATTTTTGAGGTTGTTTTAGTGATTTTCTTATTTTCTCCAAATACAGTGACTTTGCCCACTCTTTCAAACCTTGTGCTGCCCTTGCACCTATCCAGAGAAGCTTGTATTTCTAATAAAGGTTTTAAGGTTTTTTTTTTCAATTTAAAAATATCCATTTGGGCTACTTTTCATGATTTCTGTTTTTCTGCTGAGTGCTTCTGCTTTTACATTTATTCCCAAAGTGTTGACCTTTTATTATTCTTCTGATAGCTGCAATACCTGGACATTTGTTGATTTTTTCCCCTCATAAGAATTAGTCTGATTTCCTGATTCTTTCTATGTTGAGTAATTTTTTTGTTGTATGCTACACATTTGGACTATTATGTTGTAAGTGAAATGTTAGAATTCTGACAAGCATGTTCATTTAAGCAGTTAGTCTGGTTGGTTTCAGATGATTGATTCCATGTGCCTTGTTTTCTGTAGGCCCACCCTTTGCTGTAGTGTTAGTATCTGCGTAGCAAATGAACCATTCAGGAATAGTCTGAACTATAAACATTGGTGCATTTGGTATTTATGTCTTAAAAGTCTTTGCTGCACTTCATTAAATTTTCTCTACAAGTTCACAGCTAGATATGCCCAAAGGGGTTGGCTTTTCAAGCCCTGCCCAAGAATTTTTCCACAATTTTCTTATTCTTGATGACCCCATTTCCATTCCTGTCTCCAGAAAAAGAGTATATTAATGTTTGACTTTAGTCCCATATCTACTTGCTGTTATTTCAATTCAGACTCATCAAGTGGACTTTAAATGTGAAGTGAGTACTCTATAACACTGTTTATATTTGATGTATAACCTTTGGGAAAAGCAGTAATAACCTTCTTCCATCTTGGACAATACTAAAGATGTGAGAAATCCAGCTTTAATGTCATGTATTTAAGTTAATATCCAAGCATTTACTAGCACAGTATCCTTGGGCAAGTTACTTAACTAGGTTTAGCATTTCTATTCTAATAGCTAATTGAGTGTCTTACAAGTTAGTTGCATATACTCTTCCTGGACTTATAATTTATGCTTCATTTGTTTTTTAAGGAGATAAATACTCTGTGATATAAAGAAATGATGTCTCTCAATTCTGTGATTAATTTATTTCATGAATTAAATAACTATTTATGATACTACCTAGTTTTATAAGAATAAAAAATACGCCAAAAAGGTTTTCTAAAGTCACATGTGCACTTTTTCAGTGATACATATCTAAGTTATTGGGGAAAAATTTAATTTTTTATTTACAAAAAGATTTGATATTATGTTCATTAATAACCCATCTTTCTGCTACACACAATTATTCTGTGCATTTTCAATTACTTAGGACTTTCCATTATGTTTCTATATTATGAAATAAAACATGAAGTCTTCAGATATGTGTATTATCTAAAAAGGGGGTAATTTATTTTTGCTATACTTTTTTCTGTTACCTACCATTATTTGCAATTTTTTGTAACAGATTTTTTTAAAACTATTATATATTTATGTGAAAGCCAGGGTTACAAAAAGAGAACAAGAGACAGAGTAGGAGAAATCTTTCATCTACTGGTTTACTCTCCAAACAGTCACAACAACAGGGCTGGACCAGCACAAAGACAGGAGCCAGGAATTCATCCAGGTCTCCGACATGAGTGACAGGGATGCAGAAATTTGAGCCATCTTTCACTGTTTTTCCCAGGGTAGGAGGAAGAAGTTGGATCAAACTGGAGCAGCCAGAACTTGACCCAAAGGTCACATGTATCAAACAGCCAGAATTTGAACAGATCTCATAAAAAATGCTGGTGTTACAGGTCACGGCTTAACTTACAGTGAAGCAACACAGGCCCTCTAAGGTCTCTTTTGAAAGGATATTAATTGTAACCTATTTACCGACCTAAGATATTACTATTACTTTGGGGATTAGCTATAAGATGTCAAGTATAGGAGAAATATGTTGGGGTTATGAAAATAGTAATATACAAATTGGGATATTTTAATCAAGTCATTTGTTCTAAAAGCATACATTTTCTAGAAGGAGGATATAAAATGATTGACTTTACTTTTTTCCAATA